GCTCTTCCCTACGCCTGTAGTGTTTGTGGGGTTGTTGTGACCCCAAGGCAGGACCCAAGCCATGAGCTGCCAGCTTCTCTAGGAGAATGCTGCGGGAGACAGTGTCAAAGGCTTTACTGAAGTCCAGGTAGACACCATCCACGGCCTTGCCCTCATCCACCAAGCTCAACACCTTTGGGCTAAGCTTCCCCCCCTGCGCCAGGCTCCCCGCTTGCTCTCAGCCAAGGTGCCACCTCCCAAACCTGCTCCCTGCCCTGCTTGGTTGTTCCCAGTGCTCAGCTAAAACCTTGGGGATAAAAAATGGGCTCCTGAAATACAAATGCAAATGCTCACTCCGTACACCCTCTCCTCTCCCACAGCAGTGCTCAGGGCATCGAAAACCCTGTCTTTGAGGCGGTCCCCTCTGCGAGCACGGAGCCACGGCCCCGACCGCAGCTCTCCTACATGGCCAGCCGGCACCCCTCCGAGTCCGGCCGGTGCCTGCTCTCCGAGCCCGGCACCCCCCTGTCCCCCCCCGGCCCTGGGGACTGCTTCTTCCCGACGCTGGGTGAGTGACCGGCACTGCTGAGCCCCCATGGGGAGCACTGCGGGAGGGATGGGGAGGAGGGAGGCAGCCAGGGAGGTGGATGGGAAATGCAAACTTCGCGTCATGTGGGATGTCAAGTCCCAGTGCTGTCAAGATGGGAAGGACCCAAGGCTTCTCCTTCCAGCACAGTCAAGGAAAGCAGAGTTTGGCCGCTTCCCGAAGCGCATCCCCGTGGCTGCAAGCCAGACTAACACCCCCGGTCTGCCCTTTTCCAGATCCTGTTCCCGACTCACCAAATTCCTTGAAAGCCTAAAGACCCTGGAGGAAAGCGCATCCCCCGGTCGCAGCTGGGACAGGCCAGGCAGCCACGGCGCCACGCTCGCCCAGCCCAGACCCGCCGGGAGGACAGCACGGCCACGGGCAGCAAAGCCCTAAAAAAATGAAGCCGAGCGCAGGAGCCCTGCCCTCGTCTCCTGTCCTGGCTGTGCCCTGGGGCTGGAAGTGAACCTTCCTTGCCCGGATTTCAGTTTCTAAATGCCTATTTCCACGGAGAAAAGCCAGGCTGTGTGCACTGCTCACGTCTGCCGGACTAGCTGGAAACCGGGAATGCGGGGAGGGAAGGACGACCCCCACCTGCAAACCTCCCCGAGGATTTAACTTATTAAGCTCTGCAACATCAACCTGTTTCTGCATCTTGGACTGAACATCCCCTCCGGGAGCGGATGGTAAATAACTTTATCCACCGCCAGACGAAACAGGGTCACCGGCCAACCTTCTACCACCTTCTTCTTTGCAAAACAGGAAGGGGAGAGGCTCCCTGCCGCTGGCGGAACCCTCCCGCCCCACCAGCCTTTTGAGATGGCCCCGGACTTGCGAGGCTGCCGCTTTTCTAGCTGGACACACGTCAGGAGGAACCTTATTTCAGCTGCAAT